CAGAGTTGCACGATTGTCCACCAAGTCACAACAACTGGCGACGGTGGGAGCCTCATCCCACCCGCTGATTGCGCATCTGTAGCTGGGACGCCTGCGAGAAACCAGACAGTATGCTCTTACACTCCCAATGTGAAATCTATCCCTATGTACTTTCTGAGTCATTTTGTTTTCTTTTTTCCACGACAGCTGTCTAGTTCCGACTACCCTCTGAGGGCCTAGTTGCTTCTTCCTATTCCTTGCAATATGGTTAGGAGTGGTGAAATTCATTCACCAATCTCCCCAATCAATACACTTGAATACTTTTCATTTGAGCATAATGACAAGATAGAACTTGAGATAGTCCAGTGATTAACGTGAAATCGCAGACTTCTCCAAGCTTGGAAGCTGAAGTGTGGAGTGAAACTTCTTCCACGAAAATGTTGCATTTTGTTGCGTATGTGCTCAAACCAGCGACCATCTTAAACTGCGCTCATGTTTTTGCAGCTCACCAAATTTCATCGACCACTGAAGCAACCATACCTTTGGCGAAAAGGCTGGTGGAATAATTCCCCAGCATCGCTAAGCCCCCGGGATGCCTAAATGGAGCCATAAAGTTTGGACTGGTACTGTGAACCGTTTTTGCCCGATTGCTTTAGTCTATCAGGGACATAGCTTTTCACTGGTACTGTGAACCCATTTGTCCGATTGCTTTAGTCTATCAAGGACACGTCATAGCTTTTGAAAATTCAGTTACTCTGTGCGAGCACCCTTCGGACGTCTTTCTGGTTCAGTTGGCTCAAGAACAGCGCCTAGTTGCTAAGGCTCATTTGCGGCACACCCCAGAATCCGTTGTTCCTGCAACATTGCAAGGCCCCACAGCCTGGTTGGGCTGGATGACCGCAACCGATCAATCGTTGGGACAGAAGCCTGACTTCTAGAAGACTGCATACGCACTTGGAGAAAATTTTGGTATCGTCAGGCTCTTCTCCAGAAATCTCATTACAAATATCTTCTAATAGCTCGGTAAAACTTAATTCGGCCAATTTTATCTGCATTATACCAGTAAAGACTAACTAATTGGGGTCGACGATTGGCGTAGTGGTTCGAGATGGCTTGAAATTCTCTGTTCACTGGAGCGTGAACATCACGGTTTCTAAAACTTGATGTCTTCGAATTAGGTGCTGACTTGTCTTGCAGTCGGAATCGATGGTAATAAATTGTAGTAATACTTTCTTGCGTTTGAAGACCGCAGTAAGCTTGAAATTTTGTGTACATATTACAAGTATTGTATAGATGCAAGTCACAGAGTATTCGCGGTCCGTTATATGGTTTCAGTAAATGGCCAAAATTAACCCCGCATTTGTTCTACAGGATGCAGCCCCACCCATCGCTGGATCACGCAGCCCATGCCACTTCTTCCGGCGATGACTGGCCCCTCGATGATGATTGCGTAACCGGTGTGACGTGAATGACGGAGTGGCTCACCCTTCAAGGATAGAGTTATTGCTCATCGCTCGTGAGTAGTAGAAACTCTTTTTCGTTATGACAGTGGATTTCATCCTGCAAAGTTTTGTGGCCACACCTGTTGTTTCGCCTGGAATTCGACTCATTAGATACGGCTTCTTGTGAGCAGTAATCTATGCTCCTCGTCCTCTAGTGGAATGTATTTTTCTCCCTCTCGAATTCACCAACTTGCATTCTTGTGTCGAAATATCGTTAGGTCGGGTGCGCTTGATCAGGTTGCTGTTGATATGTTCTCCAAGTCTGGCAATTAACTAGCAAACGTTTCGACCTCAAACAAGGGGACCGTATCAGTCCACGCACGGACGATTCACCAACCAGGTTGCATCCCTCAGCTCACTGCTGAGGTGGCTACCGTTAATTGAAAAATGGAAATTAGTTCCATGCTTATCGATCGCTAACGCATCAGGCGCGCGGATTCACCAGTCGGTCCTCCATCAATCTATCGTTAGCGGTTTATCGTCCGTCACCAACTCACCGTCTGGTTGATGTTTCACTGACTAATTCATTACAAGATTAATTCACCCAGAGGAAGTTTATTAGGATCTTTTCTAGATAAGCCACCACCCCCCACTAATGCCAAAAGTGTACTTGCGAAAAGTTAAGCCCCGCCACGTTTTGCCAGTTCCAATTTAATGTACGCACACAACGTCAACTTAGTTTTGATGAACACAATTCCTTATCCGCATCTAGGCTCATTTTGTGCAAACATTTTTGCCGTTCGAACGTAAAACCTTAAATGAACTTCCTGACACTTTCAACTCTCGTTGGTGACAAGGAGGCGGCAATATGTTTTTTTCGCAAAGCCACGGAGTGATTCATCAGCAAATTTACACAACAATGGCCACCAAATGACAATTCCAACTTTGTCTGACAGGTGGAGGTGTAATGCCCAACACTGTTGGCAAGAAATCGGTCTTCGAAAGGGAACTTGGCTGGAGCGGTCTAGGATGAAGTTTAGGACAGTAATTCTATTCATTTATTGCTGGTCCAAAAATTTGGCAAAAATCAAATTCCGCTCAGAGGAATTATCTATTAGCCACATGACCGCTCTTGACTGGAAGAACTTTCTTCGTGAAGTTTGCGCCTGGCTGCTTTTGCAGACTCCAAC